GTAGTTAAGGCACTAAACCAAGCAAGATTAGAAGCAAGTGTAAGGGTAACCGGAGAAACCAATTTCAAAAATAAATGGCCAAGTCCCTTCGCGGTGGTTTCCGGGGTACTTCTCCTCCTTTCATTCCTCAAATATGTTTATTCTCCGTTCTGCTGGCTCGCCGTGGCAGCTGTTGCCGCCGGGATTTATCCGATACTCGCGAAATCTATAGCATCCATTGCAAGGTTTAGAATCGACATCAACATTCTTGTTGTAATAACCGGTAATGTTTTCGTTCTTGTTTCCAATTTATATGACTTGGATCACATTACTTAAATTATTAATCAAGATGAATATTAAATTGGTTCTAATGGTTTATATATAGTAGGTACAACAAGTATGTGTCTTTATAATATTGTGATGGGTCAATTTAGGGATTGTCATGTTGAACAAGACAAATCAATTGTTCTGCATTTCCCCTTTTTATGATATACTTTGAGACCAAAAGACAAATGAAAAAGAATTGAAAAATTAAATGCTGCTTTCTTTTAAACCTAGCACTCTAGCTAGAAGACCCATTTACAACATATTTTTTCTTATTGTAAGCCGACGTAAACAAAATGTTTGTTAGCAAAGAAAGACAACATATTTTCAATTTATTCATTTGTCAAGGATCCATTTCATTTAATCATTTTAAAATGTAGCTTTTTTTTTTAACAACTTTTTTTTTTCTTTTAACAAAGACATATATAGATATTTCCAAATAAATTCTTTAGTTTGTTCTGTTTCAAAGAAATTTAATTGATAAAACCATAATTGATAAGCTTTACAAGAATGCTATTGATTATGTTGCAGCTAATAATGTCAAGACAATCAAGAAAAAAACAATTACTCAAATCTTGAATAATTCTTGTGTACTCTTTGAGGTTATATACAATAAAGCTAATGCTCTTCAATTGTTTGAAAACAGTGGGAGCAACACTAGCTATGCAAGATTTCACAGAAGCTGCAGTTGTTGTTTTCTTATTCACAATCGCCGAATGGCTTCAATCAAGAGCTAGCTATAAGGTTTTTTTACATTCATTCTCTTTTGATTCAAGTTTCAAAGCTATTGTGATTGCTTAAGTATATTGGTTTTTACTGTAAAATACATTTCAGGCAACCGCGGTGATGCAGTCGCTAATGAGCTTAGCTCCGCAGAAGGCAGTAATTGCAGAGACTGGAGAAGAAGTTGAAGTAGATGAGCTCAAGATCAACACAGTTATAGCAGTCAAAGCTGGTGAAACCATACCAATTGATGGAGTTGTTGTGGATGGAAACTGTGAAGTTGATGAGAAAACCTTAACGGGCGAAGCATTCCCCATGCCTAAACTTAAAGATTCGACGGTTTGGGCTGGAACCATCAATCTAAATGGTATACAAAGGCTCAAGCTTGTCCACTTTCTTTGTTTTGATGACACTTTTCTTGTGTGATACTTAGTTTCAAGGTTTGATCTTTCTAGCTCATGTGTTTTTCAAGGTTACATAACTGTGAAAGCCGCTGCTCTAGCTGAGGATTGTGTTGTTGCGAAGATGGCAAAGCTTGTGGAAGAAGCTCAGAACAGCAAAACCGAAACTCAGAGATTTATAGATACATGTGCTAAGTACTATACTCCAGGTTAGTAACCGAATCTGTTTACTGTCCTTGAGCTGTGTAGTGATTGAGACCTCATAATATATTTGCTTGTGTGCAGCGATCATCCTAATATCGCTTTGTTTTGCGGCGATTCCACTCGCATTGAAGGTTCACAACCCGAAACATTGGCTTCACTTAGCACTAGTTGTGTTAGTAAGTGCTTGTCCTTGTGGACTTATCCTCTCTACACCAGTAGCCACTTTTTGTGCACTCACTAAAGCAGCCACATCAGGACTTCTGATCAAAGGAGCTGATTATCTTGAAACATTAGCCAAGATCAAGATTGTTGCATTTGACAAAACCGGAACAATCACTAGAGGCGAATTCATCGTCATGGATTTTCAGTCACTTTCCAAAGATATAAGCATCCACAGCTTGCTATACTGGTGAAACATCAATTCTGACCTTTAAAAACCACTTTACTGAGACACTTATGGTTTTGTGGATTTGTCTGAGAATTGCTGAATGTGACTTCTTTCAGGGTATCAAGCGCAGAGAGTAAGTCAAGCCATCCAATGGCTGCTGCACTTGTGGACTATGCAAAATCTGTATCTGTCGAAGCTAAGCCTGAAGCGGTCGAGGACTACCAAAACTTTCCAGGAGAAGGGATTTACGGGAAGATTGATGGCAACAAAGTCTACATCGGTAACAAAAGAATCGGTTCTAGAGCTGGGTGTTCAATAGGTGCATATCAAACTAATACAATGTCTTTGAGCATTGAGGCTTTTGGTTTTTCTTTACTCTCTGATGGTTCTTTGCTTTGTTGTGTATGTATACAGTTCCGGATATTGGCGTTGATACCAAAGGAGGAAAGACTATTGGATATGTCTATGTTGGAGAAAGACTAGCTGGAATGTTCTATCTCTCAGATGCTTGTAGATCTGGTGTAGCTCAAGCTATGAAAGAACTGAAATCTTTGGGAATTAAAACTGCAATGCTTACCGGAGATAATCAAGCCTCGGCAATGTATGCTCAAGAACAGGTGAGAATCAAATATTTTTGAGTTTATGCTTTTCTTGAAACTTAGTTTGTTTCACTGATGAAAACTTGAAATGTTGTATTTAAACAACAGCTAGGGAATGCTATGGATATTGTTCGAGCGGAACTTCTTCCAGAAGATAAATCCGAAATCATCAAAGAGTTTAAGAGAGAAGGGCCAACGAGTATGGTAGGGGACGGGTTGAATGATGCACCAGCTTTAGCTACAGCGGATATCGGTATCTCGATGGGTATTTCCGGCTCTGCGCTTGCAACAGAGACCGGTCATATCATTCTGATGTCGAATGACATCAGAAAAATACCGCAAGCGATAAAGCTTGCACGCAAAGCGAAAAGGAAAGTGGTGGAGAATGTGGTCATGTCCATTACTATGAAAGGAGTAATTCTTGCTTTGGCTTTTGCTGGTCACCCATTGATTTGGGCAGCTGTGCTTGCAGATGTGGGAACTTGTTTGCTTGTGATCCTCAATAGCATGTTGTTGCTTCGGGATAAAGATAAACAAAAAACTGGAAACAAATGTTATAGGAATCCTTCTTTGTCTCTCTTAATCGCGGAGAAACTTGAAGATGATGTTGCTGTGGATATGGAAGCAGGGTTATTACCAAAGATCAGTGATAAGCATTGCAAGTCAAGCTGTTGTGGAAAGAAGAATCAAGAGAAAGTGATCAAACCAGCTAAAACTAGTTCTCACCATGGTCACTCTCACTCAGGTTGTTGTGAGAAGAAACAGAAAGACGATGTAAAGGTTGTGAGAAAGAGCTGTTGCGAAAAACCTTGTGATTTAGGACAAGTACGTGACTYGGGGTGTTGTGGTGACAAGATTCAGCAACCACACCAAGACGAAGTGAAACGAAGCTGTCAAAACAAGACTGGTGACTCGGAGGAGATATGCCTGGACATTGGTGATGGTGATCGCAACTCGGTTTGTTGTGGAACTAGCTCAATACAAGAAAGTTCTTCAACCTTGGCCAATCTGAATGGAGCAGAGCAAGAGAAGTTAAAAGTCTCGATCAAAGGTTGTTGTGCAAGTCCTCCTGATCCCGTGGTAGCCTTGAAGGTAAAGAGCGATGGGCATTGCGGGTCTAGCTGCTGTGAAAGTTCTAAGAGAGCTAAAGAAGAGTCATGTTCTCAGGTTAAAACGAAGGAAGCTTGCAAGTCTAACTGTAGCAGCAGAGAGAGTATCCACAGCGGCGGAAGCTGATTCAGGAGCTATAATAAGTAGTCATGCAGTCACCATCAACACCAAACGAGGGCTGCTGGTTTTGGAGGGTTGACAGAGATTGTGATTGAATAGCTTTTAGCTTCTTGCTTATATTTGTACTCATAACCTCTCATCTTGCAATCATAACAAGGATGATGTATTGATAGAGAAACCGTATGATTAATCAAGGAAATGTGAATGATCCTTCTCACTTATCTTTCAATCTTCTCCTGTTATTCCTTGGCCATAGAGAAGTTAGCAAACTGGTACAGAACAAACAGTAAAACACACATCTAAAGTCAAACAGTGTTTCTTTTGACTGTTCGACTCTCATATTGCTAATTGTGTATGTAAGATGATCTAACTCGATTTCTTAATCTCTTTTTTGGGTTTTCCATTTCGTAGATCTCTTCTGATTCTTTGGATCTCAGATTTTTTTACCATTGGATCTCATATAGGAATTTTAAAGTGTTGTACTTCTATAGATTACTTCTATAGTTACGTTGGAAATCATCTAGCCCCACAACTGCACTATCTAACATGTCTTTACGTGTTGCTTACTTGCTTCTCATCTATTAATCCTTTTCAATATTGCTTACAGGTTTTACTTGATACTAAAAGCATTTCCAACCCAACACCAAATCTCATTTTAGTGTAAAATTTTCTCCAATCCAACACCATTTTAGTGTTGAACTTTTAACCTTTTCCATTTATAAAAAGGTTTAAATTTTAATAAATATTAAAATTTATGAAAAACATATATAAATAGTGATGGTTAAACCAAAATCTATTATGTTTAATGATAATTAAACAAAAATTTTATATATTTTGTCATTTTATATGTTGCAATGTATTTATTTTCATACATAAAACAAGTTAAATTTAAATTATTTCATAATTATTTTAACTTTAAAAAGTATATGGGGTCAATATGTAAATTTTAAAAAGTTAAAAAAAAA